CGCTCATCTGGTGAAATTCATCAAAGCCAATCAAAGTATTGCAAGCTTTAGCACCATTACACAGTACACTTTGAATTTACTAGGCAATTTTTACTTTCGGAAGATGATCAGGGCTTGGGTATAAAGTATCCCAAAGGCATAAACAAGGAAACTTCAAGACATGGATCCAGATGGCGATACGTAGCTACCGTAGGACACAAAAGCAGTTTTCAAAGGCGAATCGTCCCAATTTCTCACCTAAATAAAATAACATATGTGATAAATTATCAAATAAACGCTTGGACTAGAAAATGGTTGATTAACAAATGTGAAAAGGGCCTCGTGGTTTAATTTGCCCATTTTGTTTAGGTGGAGAGCATACCACCGCGAATGCCGACTGCTTCGGGGTGGAGACAATTCACCGACTGTATTCCCGATTTTGTCCAAGATTTTTTTAATGGTATTGCTCAAAATAAAAAGCAAAATTTTCTTTGATTTTGTCGCTGTTTTGACCCACGCTCTCTGGCTCCTTCAATACATGACCTAGGCAAATTGAAAATGATTTCGGCCAATGTGACAGGGAATTGGGACATTCCACTCCTATGGGATCACCAGCCTCAGCCAATCGCGTGAGAGGAGGAAAAAATATATATATTTGTCACTCACAGGAGGAGTGATACCTCACTAGGGCGAAAGTAAGTCATGTTAAGGTTACGATCTTGATAATGCCATTAGATGCCCAACTGGAGTACTAACTGCAATCACTTTTTTATGCATTTAATAGAGTTTTAAACACTTTTATAGTGCTACATTTCTCTCATAAGTTACAACTTTACATTTTTATGATTTACTGTTCGCCTTTGATGAAGAAATTGATGGTTTTACTTGACCACTTAAGTGGGGGTTAAACTCTCAAGCAGTCCCACGCTTCAAGATTGGATTGACTTCCAATTGTAAAACAAAATACTTAGGAGCTCATTTTTTATAGATACTGTAAAGATGAGTGTAAATTCGAGAACTTTCCATCACCGAGATGAGGCTGCCTCTATTCTAGTTCTCGGTAAAAATGTGGTCTTTCAGGACCTCGAATGCGCCTCTCATCCCTCCTTCGCCACAATTTTCCGAGCACTTGACTTTATTATTTTATTTTAAACTTCTGCCAAAGCTGCTTACTAAAAGCAATATTTTTAATGGTGAAGAGTGAGGGGTTACTGTAAAAAAACTGTAAGGGAGAGCCATGTGTTACCCCCAACTGGACTCCTCCAATTTCATTTCCTTTCAGCTCCGTCTCCCACAATTAACGATTACTTGGCGACAAAAAAAATTTAAAGCAAGGCAAGAAGATAAAAGGGAGTCAGAAGCATCAAATATCCTCCTTAAAATTATTTTTACGATGTCATTAGATACTTCTCAAATTGCTATTTAATGCTACCGCTACCATCAAAAGCCAACACTGCAATACGGCGGTGGCCAAATAATGGTCCACATCAGGCCTCAAGTACAAAAAAATAGGTGACAATAGGGCGGTAAAGAGGAATCATCCACCATAGCGCCGATTTCCATGATTCTAGATTGTTACCTGCTGTTATAAAACTCATTTGTCATTCATGATATGGCAAAGAATACGTGAAACGATTTACTGTTCCCAGTAACGAGCGTGTTGGGCTGGAATTTCCCACCCCACTTCGGTCATTCGAACTCGCTAGAGCGCTCTATTTTACCTTAAAGGTTAATTACTCCCCACCTTCCACGCGATGTCGCCATCATCGTACTGCCTCCTGCTTCTTTCCGCATTGCTGCTACTCTCCGCTCATCTGGTGAAATTCATCAAAGCCAATCAAAGTATTGCAAGCTTTAGCACCATTACACAGTACACTTTGAATTTACTAGGCAATTTTTACTTTCGGAAGATGATCAGGGCTTGGGTATAAAGTATCCCAAAGGCATAAACAAGGAAACTTCAAGACATGGATCCAGATGGCGATACGTAGCTACCGTAGGACACAAAAGCAGTTTTCAAAGGCGAATCGTCCCAATTTCTCACCTAAATAAAATAACATATGTGATAAATTATCAAATAAACGCTTGGACTAGAAAATGGTTGATTAACAAATGTGAAAAGGGCCTCGTGGTTTAATTTGCCCATTTTGTTTAGGTGGAGAGCATACCACCGCGAATGCCGACTGCTTCGGGGTGGAGACAATTCACCGACTGTATTCCCGATTTTGTCCAAGATTTTTTTAATGGTATTGCTCAAAATAAAAAGCAAAATTTTCTTTGATTTTGTCGCTGTTTTGACCCACGCTCTCTGGCTCCTTCAATACATGACCTAGGCAAATTGAAAATGATTTCGGCCAATGTGACAGGGAATTGGGACATTCCACTCCTATGGGATCACCAGCCTCAGCCAATCGCGTGAGAGGAGGAAAAAATATATATATTTGTCACTCACAGGAGGAGTGATACCTCACTAGGGCGAAAGTAAGTCATGTTAAGGTTACGATCTTGATAATGCCATTAGATGCCCAACTGGAGTACTAACTGCAATCACTTTTTTATGCATTTAATAGAGTTTTAAACACTTTTATAGTGCTACATTTCTCTCATAAGTTACAACTTTACATTTTTATGATTTACTGTTCGCCTTTGATGAAGAAATTGATGGTTTTACTTGACCACTTAAGTGGGGGTTAAACTCTCAAGCAGTCCCACGCTTCAAGATTGGATTGACTTCCAATTGTAAAACAAAATACTTAGGAGCTCATTTTTTATAGATACTGTAAAGATGAGTGTAAATTCGAGAACTTTCCATCACCGAGATGAGGCTGCCTCTATTCTAGTTCTCGGTAAAAATGTGGTCTTTCAGGACCTCGAATGCGCCTCTCATCCCTCCTTCGCCACAATTTTCCGAGCACTTGACTTTATTATTTTATTTTAAACTTCTGCCAAAGCTGCTTACTAAAAGCAATATTTTTAATGGTGAAGAGTGAGGGGTTACTGTAAAAAAACTGTAAGGGAGAGCCATGTGTTACCCCCAACTGGACTCCTCCAATTTCATTTCCTTTCAGCTCCGTCTCCCACAATTAACGATTACTTGGCGACAAAAAAAATTTAAAGCAAGGCAAGAAGATAAAAGGGAGTCAGAAGCATCAAATATCCTCCTTAAAATTATTTTTACGATGTCATTAGATACTTCTCAAATTGCTATTTAATGCTACCGCTACCATCAAAAGCCAACACTGCAATACGGCGGTGGCCAAATAATGGTCCACATCAGGCCTCAAGTACAAAAAAATAGGTGACAATAGGGCGGTAAAGAGGAATCATCCACCATAGCGCCGATTTCCATGATTCTAGATTGTTACCTGCTGTTATAAAACTCATTTGTCATTCATGATATGGCAAAGAATACGTGAAACGATTTACTGTTCCCAGTAACGAGCGTGTTGGGCTGGAATTTCCCACCCCACTTCGGTCATTCGAACTCGCTAGAGCGCTCTATTTTACCTTAAAGGTTAATTACTCCCCACCTTCCACGCGATGTCGCCATCATCGTACTGCCTCCTGCTTCTTTCCGCATTGCTGCTACTCTCCAGTTTCAGTGAGTACCCTAACGTAGAGGCACGTTATCTCGTCGTGCCAAAAAGAGTGTACTTCACCTCCCCATCGGCGTCAGCATCAGACCTCGGCGGCAGACATGGCGTCGAGAGCGGCAAGGCTACACAGGGGACGAGTGATCAGGAGGCTCTCTTCTATCCCGGTCCGCATCTCTCCCAGTACTTGAGCAAACGGGGGCCGGAGATCTTTATTCCCCTTATGGAAGTGTAGAGTTTGGTTGTTTGTGTGTGTGTGTGTGTGTGTGTGTGTACTAAATCGAAATAAATATTTATTTTTCGTTTAAACCAAATTGGTTTGCTTAAGTACGTTGTTTATTACACACTTGGCTCAAAACTCATTAATGTCAACTTGTGCTGCTTAATCATTCACCACTAGCTAAATAAAAACAAAATTTTGATCAAAGGAAAATGAACGGAATTTCTGGACTCATCTTTTTTGTCTCAATTTTAATTTATGCTTCAATTTGGCAGCTTTGAAGAAGTTACCGGCATCGTAGGAGTTCTTGTAGGTAGTTTTTCCAGCGACGCCCCAAACCCATCCATGTTAGAGACTCAAGCCGAGACGGTAGTGAGAGACCGACTTTTATATACCCCACTCAGCCCTTACGAAATTCTGAATCACAAGTATCTGAAAGAACCACCGTCATAAACATCCAGTGGGGCTAAGAGACCGTTCGCAAAGGTGGCATTTGCGTGGGGACTAGCCTCGGGTCGTCATGACATCGAAGTGCACACCATCAGTACCACAGTTTAAGGAGATCTTAAAGGACAGGTTGTATCATTTTAAGCCAGGTGCAATTTCTAAAAAAGGTCAATGTCAATTCAACAGCGAATCAATTAAGATTCTCCAGAGTTGCATAAGTCTGGAACAGGAGGCTTCTAGTGGGCTAGAGTGTGGCGTATTGCTAGCAAAGTAGGGATTCCTTCTTTTTTGGATATGTTCATCGCCAATGCAGTCATTCCTGAAGACCACGAAATACAAGAACAGTAGTTTAAGTGTCGTGGACCGCACTTCATGCTGTCGGAGTGAATAATAGCCTACAAAAAGGGTCTGGACAATTATCGCGCTCCATGCCGTGACAAGGGTCACTAATATCTTGGCGTGGATCCTTGAAGGAGATAGTGAGGAGGCACGACATGATCTAAAGGCTACTGGCGACCATCAGATGCATCTGATCCCATTCTAGCCTTCCCAGGTGGCTGAGAAGCATATTACAGTCAAATATGACCTATCCGGTTCTTACGCTTTCTATACTTGGAAAGTGATCGACCAGAAATGCATTTTGATTTCCTTTACTGTCTCCTTTAAAATAGGGCAAATCCACACTAATATAATGTAAAATGACGGAGGATTCTTGGCTTTTGCTTCTGCTGAAGACCTCCAGTTTTCGCAAGATTCACTCACACTTAATGGCGGATTTTTGACCAAAGTTATTGCTGGAAATAAGCATCCACGACGGCCAAGTCCACCCTGAAGGCCTTGTAAGCCAGGTGAGTAAGGATTCAAATTTGTCAAAAATGTAGGGAAGGACTGATGAGCTTTGCAGATGGATGGCATGACCAGGACACAAGACTATTCCGTTCCAGAAATACTTCCTTTGACGGCTTCTGCCGTGGCCACCTATCTCTGGGTAACTGGAGATTTTTGGCAACAACTGTATGACATCAAAGGTCGTGCATTGACGCCTTGCAGTGGATGCACTCCTCAGGCCAATTTTCAACGGTGGGTGCATCTCCTTCCGATGGCTTCATGGAGCCACTGTTCCATGCACTTTCTTCCCACCTTCCAACTCGAGTCTCACTTCATTTCTATTTAGCAATTCTATTTAGTTACGAGGAACGTGAAGGAGGTATAACTTCCTCAAGAGACTATATTAAGTAGTTTGGTCTTCTATTTCGAGTCAACGTGGATTCAATAATGCACCTGAGGCTCAAATTTTTTCAAAACCTTACATTATGCATGAATTTGAGTACAACTGTTTATTGGACGCAAAAAATGGCTGGCGAACTGTTAGCGCACCAGTTTCCACTTCTCTTACCCACTTTTAGGCTACGATTTATGAATGCGGACGTTTTGTCAAGCAAATGTCGAAGCATCAGTAGCTAACTGAAGTGAGAGCAATTTGTCCTTTTTTGGGCGAAAATACATCCGCGGTGTCGATGAAGGAGCATCTTTCATAAACTCACGTTTCCAGCTTCGTGCAGTGACATCTAACGATGTTTTCCTGCCCTCTCGCATAAAATTTTACCTCTTGGTTGTGCTTTTTAGACTACATTGAACTCAGATGCATCTCTAATGCGTTTCTAATAATAGTCAGAAAGAATTTATGTCTATTACCAGTTACCTTGCCCAATGAGTGCTCTTTTCTTTGCCCTATAATAAATAATCATACTTTTCTTCTTCAAGCAAAGATTTGCTACTTTTATCTACTCGAAATGCTTGAGCGAATGAGAGATTTACTTTTCGAGTAACCATTTTAGACTTCAGTGGAGATTTCGCAGGGTAAATCAGGCGATCCTTTTTGTTGTTCCGTATTCCAGCATCACCGCCTAATGCATGTAAAAGTCAACAATCCTTTTATCCGGCAAATGATGCCATTAATCTTCGCTTGCACGGCTTTTACATTCTCGGAAATTGGCATTTTGGGCAGGAACGTTATCGTGTACTCTTACATAGCGGCAAGATAGAAAGAGGGTGGAAGCAATAGGCATCATTGTTATCGAGTTAATAAAAATGCCATTTAATGGTCATTTTACGTCTGCGTTGTTTAGCTCAATTGCCTAAGAACTAATTCAGCAAGAATCTTGCAAATTTATCAGGGATCTACTTGAACAGGCTGCTGTTTGATGTAAATAAGTACGGAAAAGTGGTAAAGTAATACCACAAGGTAAGTCATTGAGCATCTTGTAAAATGGTGGTTGCATTCTCAGAAGATCATCTAAAATCAACGCGTACACTTACAAAGCGTTCAATCACAGTCAATCAAAATTACAAGTTACATCTCAAAACGTTAATTAATTTTTTTGGAGGAGAAAGGACGAATAGTGAGGGCAACATTATAAGCACTAGCTAATACGCGGTCCCATCGTTTTTTTGTTATTCTGTTCTAGATCTGCTTACTTCCACTAAGCTGTCAAGGGTAGAACTCCCACGAAGACTGCTGACTAGGTTCCTCAGTTAGACTCCGGCCGGTCTTGCGCGCAAGTGAATACAACATAAGTGAAGAGAAAATAGCCATTAAGTTCCCTTAAACTGCTTCATTCTTAAAGCTGTTTCAAAAACTAGTTATGGTTTCTGCGCTACACTCTTTTGTTGCGATCTCTTAATGCGTGGTACCTGGTATTTGGTTGATATATATGTACGCCAACTCCTTGATCTTGTTAATTTAGCCATTAACTCGGTTTTTACCGATGGCTTCTCATATCATGTGTATTAATAGTTCCTCAATCTTGGTGAATCCTAATAATAAATTTACTTTCAGACAGACATTCCTCATGGCATCTTCATAACTTTAAGTTGGGGGCTGTGATAAGGCAGCCTACTTTAATGAACAGACAATCCTGATTTCACTGAATAAATACTAGGTCAAACAGTCTTAGAAAGAAGCTATCTTCCACAATTGACTAAATTTGTACGGACTCATTACAAAGTAGCCGTAGAAACGGCATCAACTTTTATCAGATAAAACAAAGCCAGCCTGTGCATAATGAACAGTTATGAAAATAGAGTGCAGTCTCTGTTACTGCCTCTCAAATGATTTCACCATTTCTGATGCTGTTTAATAAAGTTCTCGAATCTTAATGATTTTATCCGACAAGAGAGCCTAACTATGGGGATCACCAGGGTCATTGCTTAGAAAAACTTTGTAATACTTATTGCAGTTATTTATTTAACCATACAGCGGTTCCAGTTACGTCCTCATTCACTTTAACAGTTTACTATTGAATAAACCTGAGTAGAATTTCTTATTCTGGGACAAAATTGTCATGCAGGAAAAGTGCAACTACCTTCTATTCGACACCAGAAATTTACTCTGTTCAGAACTGACAAACCTCGTTAGTCATCAAATTTACCAATCAATCCAGAAAGACATTCCTTATAGTGTCGTCATAGCTCCCACCTTAGGGGTTGTAGTAAGGCAGCCCACTTTTGTCATCAGAAGCGGTGGTTTGTATAAGATTAACGCTCCGATTTTAAAGCAGTAAAAAATAACGTTATCTGTTGTTCATAAGGCTTATCACTGCCTTTGGCGAGCCTTTATTTGCATCAAACACAACCACTTACAGGAATGGGGAGAAGTGGGCAGTAGAAGGCATGTCACCGAGACTCACTTCACACACTCTAGCACGAGGCGTGGGAGCCATGACAACCACACACCACAAGGTGTGCAATGGTTTCGAAGATGAACCACCGCGTTGGGTGTGAGTTTTGGCAGTGTTAATGCCATTACCTCTCTCGGACCTCTTACTCACCCACAAACACACCCATCGAAGACGCCCCTCAGTCTTTTTTGCACTTCTCAATCACACCAGTCTGCTCACGTTTACTATTTACTTGAGCTTTAGCAGTATCATCAGCAGCTCTAGTGCCTTTTTCCGGTACGTAGTCCGGATCAAATGGTTACCGAATTGTCATTCCTTTTTCCCCTCTGTCACACTTCTAGTAGTCACATGAGACGATGAAGAGAACCCCGATCAAATTATTTTCTTTCGACTGAAGCTGGAGAAGTTCAGCTTACACTAACGCATTTAACAATCCTAAAAATCTGGCTTGGCTCATGCAGATGCGCTGATGTGTAGCAGGCAAGTCAAAATTAAAGCCAAAATGCTAAAATATCATCCATTTTCTGTCGGAGTTGCTTTTGTGAAGGCGAGATTGGTCCTTCCAAGTGAAAAGGAATTTGGCTAAGCACCTGATGAATTGTTAATAAAAACTGAAAAAGTTGAATAATTTTTTGAACGTCACGGGACATCGGTTTGACATCTTGTCGCATGGTTGGTCAAGGAGAAATCGCACTTACTAATTAAGAATTTCTTCATTTATTGTCCATTTGATGCGTTAGTTAAGGTGGGATTGATGGAGCGCTGTTTTAAAGTTGCCATCCAAAGCCCAGGTATCACAGTTGCTGCGAGATCACATGATTTTTTGACGGTGAAAACTTCCTGCCAGGCCAGCAGATGAAAGACTGCTCAGTGAATTCATAAATTTACTTTTGCATTCATATTAATCCAAAAGGTTCCAAAAAAAAAACACGAGTTTACTGCAGACGAACCGAGGGAAACGGCGACAACTAACAACGTCGGTTAGAGAAGGGGTCCATCCCATTAGCATGGGGGCTGTCTTTATCTAAGGGCGTCGGAAGGGGTCCACATGGTCCAATATCACATTGAAAGAAAGACACTTAATAAACGTACTCAAGTTTATTGCTTCCATATTTTTGTGATAATCGTACATAGGATCTTTTCCTAAGTAGTGACTCTCACATGACCCAAATTGCCACATAAAGTTCAACTCGAAATTTGATTGGTTGGAGATACTCATCACACAACCGTGAGACGGTTTCGCAGACTCGTACCTCAATAATCCTCGTTCCAGCTAAAGGCCGAAGTTACATCAAGCATTGTAGCTCAACCTCTTGTAACCAATATAGCTTTTCCAGTTTTCCACGATTTGGCCTCGGACCTAAGAGTATGACAGGCCATTCCCTACGGTCAGTCCCTCATTGGAGTTACTTCCAGACTCACAAGCCTCGCAATACCTCCAAGGGATACTCATGCATTGAGGCAAGAAAGAAGTCATGTCAAAATCGCTCTTGACAACTCTAACCATGTTTGTATCGCTCAAAGGCTGTCATGTAGTCCTACTGAGGATCTTAGGAGGGGAGACTGCTGATTCTTGGGAGCGAACAGTCCTGTTATGCGGCATAACTCGAGGCACCAGGATATCGTCCACCACAATCGCCAATTAGGCTTCTGTCGATGAGAGCAGAGGGGATCCTTACACTTTCCACAAGTCGGTAATTACACGCACTTTAAGAAGGTGGTGCCGATCCCCATAAGAGGTAAAATAAAAAAGTGCATTTTTTCGTCTTTGGCACTTCAAAAAACACTGATTTCGGAAATGGGTGTTACAAATTTTGCTTGTCTCCACCCAAGGTGTCAATTGGGGAGCCCCTCTACCCTTCTTTACACCAACCTGCTAACACAGCGAAAATTCTTGCTCGCGTCAAATCGAGTCACATGATTGTGCAAAGTCCTTCTTCCAAATAACAGAGCCGACAGCCTTGCCACGTAGGTTAAGTCAATTGACGTCTTTCTGCCACGATTTCACATAGGCAAGTTAAATGGACAAAACTTCTACTTTTCTCCTGCTAGAAACTAACAGTGGTAGATTTTAAGCGCCACACGCGGAGTAGGATTGGGTGATGCGATGAAAATTAGGTGATTTCTTCTACTCCTTGTTCTTACCAATCCACCAAAGCGAATCCCACTACTTACAACGACAGTTACAAATAATAAACCTTCCAGGAGACGTATCTTAGGTGAAAAAGACATGAACACAACAGCAATACGGCAGGTAGAGGCTACTGCAAGGCAAAAGACACTGCGACGTATCAATCTATTAAGGAATGCGAATCAAGTACGTGTAAGGTTGTCTCAAACTAGCCGTACGACGAGCATCAAAATCTCAGATAGAAAAAAGTAGGTCTGATAACCCACAAAAGACGAAAGTAGGTGGGAGGGTAAAGAATAATAGTGGAGTAGATTAATTGCCATTTGAAAAATAACTGCCCTACAAAAATACAATAGCAAATAGCCACGGGGATGCGAGAGAGGGGTATCAATTCATTCATCTAATGCTGCTGCCGTTTAGTCCTCCGCACTATCACGATCGCCAGTTGCCTTATTAACATCGGACTGCCAGTTAAAGCTGCGTTTCACTGCATTATGGTAGCCTTTCATCCACAGATGGCGAGTCTTCGAACTGATTTTAGGTCGGAACGTATTCTCCTCTTCTTCGCCACCCTCGTGCTTGCGGATGGAGACAAGATCGGTGGGATCGATGCCCACCGCTATGGCTGCCGCCACCGCTGCACCCAGTGCAGTCATCACATCCGACTTGTTGGGTCGAATAATCGTTGAGCCGGTGATATCGGCGAGGCTTTGCATGAGTACCGAGCTCTTTGTCAGCCCGCCATCGACTGAAATGACCCTTGGAGGCCTGCGTTTTGTTCCGTCATTCATTTCACGGGCCGCTTCTAGGACCTCCTGTGTCTGGTACGCAGAGGCACGATAACCCGCGGCGATCAAATCGCCCCGTGTGCAGTTCTCGTCGAGACCAACGATGACACCGCGTGCATCTTCACGCCAGTAGGGACAGAAGAGGCCGGAGAATGCGGGCACAAGGTAGCACGCATCCATGGTCTTCAAATCGGCCAGTTGACCTGACTGTTTTCGCCGAATTGGACCGTGCTGCTCTAGTAAGGCCTTCTTTGCCAACTCGTCACCTATTGCGTGGTCCGTGTAGAGCTCTAATTTGCAGCGAAGCCAGTCCATTGTGGCTCCTGAGTAAGCTACTGCTCCCTGGAAAAAAGTGCCGAATTTTATACCCCGAAAATTGGCATAAATATGCAGGGTGAGTAGACGCATACCTCTAGAGCGTAATGAACCTTCGCCTTAGGGCCCATTTGGTAGGCAATGGTAGTGAGAAGGCCATAAGGCGAGAAAGAGGCCTTCTCACCAATGTCCCAGAGCAGGAAGGCACCTGTACCGTAAGTGACCTTCACGTGGGGTCTAGGGCTGTCTGGATCCGGATTTGGGTCCCAGGTCTGACCAACCAGAGCTGCCTGTTGATCACCAAGGATACCGCCCATGACAACCCCTCTGAGACGACAGTCGCGATCTCTGACGTGACCGTAGGCCTCAGCTGAGCTAATCACGGTAGGTAGGATGCGAGGATTAATGCCAATAAACCTACGATAAGAGAAAAAAGTTGTTGAGGAAGACTGCCGAAGGGATGAGGTAGCAAAATGAATCAACGACGCACTGGCACAACTCCGAGTCCCATTTGCACTTTCGGATGTTGAAGAGATTTGTGCGACTGGCGTTGGTGACATCAGTAAGATGCTTGCCCCCGGAAGCACCACCAGTCAGCTTGTAAATGAGCCAACAGTCGACGGTACCAACCTTTAGTCTCCCGTCTTCGTTGGCCTCCTTCACGGCTGGAATATTATCAAGCATCCATCGAATCTTTAAAGCTGAGAAGTAGCTGTGGATGGCCAGACCAGTCTTCTCCTACGTAAGAAGAAAAATGAGGTCAAAGGTTTCTTGATCTTTAAATTGTATGATGCCTAGAGATGACAGCAATTACCTGGAATGCATTTTTGTCCTTATGTGGTGTTTTGTTAATGAAGTGTTGAACGAGATCGGAAGTTCGAGAGTCTGACCATACAATAGCAGGACACAGGGGTTCACCGGTTTGACTATCCCAAGTAATGGATGTTTCACGCTGATTTGTAATACCAATGGCAGCAATATTCTGTAAAAATAAAAGCACTTATTTATTAGATTTGTATGCCTTATGTATTGTAACTGGTTTGGCTGTAAAACTAACCTTAATCGGAGCCTTGAGTGATTGTAGAATCTTAGCGACTTTATTCATACAAGTGAGGGTGCTTTGGTAGATCTCCGCTGCAGATTGTTGAACCCAGCCAGACTGAGGGTGCTCCCGACCAATCTCAATTTGGTGTTTGGCGACCACCTCGCCAGTGACCGCGGAGAAGACCACAAATCGGGAGCTACTGGTCCCCTGATCGATGACACCAATCATTTTTTCGTATTTTTTATCCGACATCCTCGTAAAAAGACGCCTTTTAAAAAGGTGGCAGACCAAAGTAAAAGAACATGGAAATTAGAATGAATACAGGAAGAATAAAATACTCAAAAGGGGTAAAAACCATAATGAGGGTAAATATAGCTCAATAGCAAGTTTAAAACAACTTATCACATCAATAGCAAGAGTTCTAAAAGAAGGCACAAGTCTAATTTTAGATAATACATATCTCAAACACCATCACAAGTAATCTTAAAGGCTGCGCCTGTACTTATTTGGAGTATCCAATTAGTCGAAAATGTTAAAAAAAGTTAAGCAATTGCCAGGATGCCAAACCAACTCACTAATATGCCACAACGGCGCATGAGCCACGCTGGCATTTTTATATACCTCATCAGATTACCTCTCGAGGTCACGATCAATCAACTCATGCGATACAACAAAAGTAGGTAGCAGCTATAAAAGGATCGCCTCTTCTAAAAATATAGCACATTTAAAAAAATTTTGCGGCGAGAGGACTAAAATTTGTTTATTTTGTTGACCTCGTCTGAAACCAAATCACCCAAGAATAACGTTGGGAATATATGGCATGCAGATCCCAGAAAAATGCCACAAAGAGCATTGCCTATTGAGTGGGACTCAAAAACTGCGTGCCTGCAGCAACAATATTGCCTTTGTTGAATATGGTTGCTTATAATGACGGATGAAGTGAATCAATTCCATGGCCATTATTGAAATGAGTGTGAAGAAATGAATTGAAGGCAAGTAGATTTTTGAAGTTGGACGTAAAGTGGCTTTTCAGTTGCGCATCGAAAAACCAAACTTGCTAAATTAAGTGCATTTTTAAGTCTGTAACAAAAGAGAACCATATATATATGTCAATTCCCGAGACTTTCCCAAAGAGGAAAGAAGCCACAATCCCCGGCCACAATATGTATTAGGCATACAGAAGTTATCAGGGCTACCGGCGTGACCCAAAACCCTTCTAATTGGCGCTATGCAATGACAGATTCAAGAGTGCCACCCCACCAAAACCGAGAGTTAGACAACCGACATATTACAATAAACTTTCTGCCACACTGCTATAACTTCCTACGAAAATAAGAAAGAATCAGAACGATGTGCAACCCTTGGTTTAAGCGTTTCAAATTAATTTTTTGTATTTTATTTTGCAACTCTAAGGTTGCAGTGCAATCGGTAATTTCCCTCAAGTTACTTTAACAGCGGGATAGTGAAATCTTAATAAAACTTTTTAATTTTATGACAACTAAATCGGCTCTAGAGAATGCAAAAGATACTAGCCTACTATCAGAGGGAAATACCAGACTCTTTTGCATGTTCCGACTTTTTTGTGATCGTAAATTGGAATCTGTAGTAAAGCGACTTCTGGTTTGGCTGTGGTGTCCTGAGTCTAAGCGAGAGCCAACAGCCATGCCGCCGAGTGGACGCACAATCTACGAATACTCAATTGCCCACGTGAACAAATGTAGGGTAAATCAGGCCATCAAAGTCTTGAGCGGTGAGGTTTCAAAAAGATGCAGGAGCAAGAGAATATGGCATTGCATATGTTCATATCCTAACACTGGTATTCGAACAGTGTTTTTATGATGCAGAATAAATGGAGCCACCTCAACTAAGATTACTACGCCAAGCAACCCCTCATTCAAGAATTTGATGCCAGGTGCAGTTAGGTTACTGTTTGTTTAACTCTCAGTTTTGGAAATGGACGACTTGGGGACTCCGCCACTGTGCCACTGCTGGACAGCCTGACCTCTGGGCCGTGCCTCTAGCTCCAAGCCCTTCCGTTGGCCAACAATACATATTCCGAACAAGTATTACCTATTCATTTGTTTTGGAAAATTCTTTGGGCGCATCACTAGCATTCTGAATTGATGTTATCTGTAGTCAAAGTTGACGTGATGGCTTAGGCATCTTAAACTTATGGCACAAGTTTTAGTCTTTTTATAGGTCTATATGATACAGTAATGTAACTGGAGTATATCTGTAATACGATAGTGGTTTATCCCTCGGTATTAATGAGGCGCCACTTTTGTACTTTGAATTAGCCTTCTTCTACCTCGCTGGGTGGGCTGGCCTTTTGGGCCATGCCAATAGCCCAGACACCTTCTCTGCACTAAATATATATTCTGCCCGAGTATTTTGTCTTCTTTCGTCTCCAGGGAGCCCCCGGACGCTACATGTCTGAACACTTTATGGAGGATACCATGAGAAGTGGACGAAAAGCCGACGAGACATCTTAGAATTATTTTAGTCATTCATGGATTAGATATTTTCACCAGCTAGAAGTTGCACTAAACACCAGCAAATGGATTGCATTTGCTGTAGATGAATAGAGTGACAAAGATTCAGAGAAGGGAAGGCAGTAAAACCGCGTTAGATCTTGATAATTACAACATGCTCAACTTATGCGTAATGGGCAGTGCAAAAAATGGGACTAGGTTTATAAAAGTTAGAACTTTAAAAACTGTGGGCAGTAAAAATTTTATTGGCAGAGATTTAAACCTCCTCCTGCTTCTGTCGGGCATTATGCATACCTAGGGTTGGCTTTTTGATCTTGATAGTCCGTGCTCCGATCTGCAGTATGGCCCATACTCGAAACCAATAAGAACCTGACTCTTTTGTGCCCTAAATCCAACCTCTGCTTGCTAGTGTTAGCATATTTTGACTTCAAAAATGATTAGAGGAACATAATTTCTCCGTAGTGAGACATCACTTGAAGGATTGTTCCAATCTCCTGTAATTTGTTGTCATATTTAACCAGCAAAATCTTCCATAGATACAAATCCCGAATAATTCCTGAAGAGGGTATGATTTGCATCTACATAGGAGCCGCCGAAACAGCAACGCATGGAAGGACATAGGGACACAACTTAATTAGAAGGCTTTGAAAACCAAACAGCTTGCACACTTGAAATAAATGCATTACTTCGATTATTTGTTCATCTCATCGCTTTGGCCTTGTAAGGACTCATATCCCCGCCGTCATACTCTGGCCATCTCTTCTGTATGTCGATAATAAATATTCTGCCTCAGTATTATGTCTTCTTCCGGCTATAGGGAGGTCTCCGGGCCCTACGGATGTTTCAAGGATGTTCCATTTGCAAAAGACTCACAGATATCAGATAAAAAATCAATTTTTTTCTGGCGTTGGTTAAAAAACTGCTTAATTTGTTACGGGACTGTATAATTACCGAATGACGATTTTCACATCACCTGCCCCTAGAGTAATGAGTAGTTGTCGTGCTTTATTCGGGAAGAAAATAGCATCACCAATATCCGGAATAATTTTAAAAAACTTATTTGTGGATGCACGTAATCAGGAGAATCTTCACCGAGGAATAACACTCCCTTATTACCCACGGCATTTATTCACTGCCTAAAATTGTTGAGGATGCCCATCAAACAAAAATCCACACATATTAACGAATAATATGACACAATCTTTTGTACGAAGTAATGGAGAGTTCCCCTGCTATAAGTGATTGTGGATATTAACGACAAATAGTTATTAAAATGTTTTAACAGGTCCGCGGTATTTCGAGTGTTGCCTCCTTGCTCAGTGATGCGGATTACGGACTCACTTTGCAAGCTGTATAAGCGCAGCTCTCATCGTCGCCATGACTTGGAATTTTTCAAATACAAATATTACAGAGACCCCATATTAAAAAACAAAGTGTCAGGCAAGGGGGAAAAGGAACCTCGTAATGTTTTCCTTATTATACTAATCACAAAACCTTAAGGAGCTGTTTGCGTTGAAGAAATGGCATTGGTGTTGGCCTGTCTGAAGTCCAATGATTTCGAGGAAAAACCCTGTTCCCAGGTCATTGATGCCTTTAATAAGTGCGTTGCTGCTGCGGAGTTGCGCCGGGAGCGAAATAAACAGGCACGACAATTGGGACACTTCAGTAACACATCGGATGATCCTGATGAGGTGAAGAAGCTTTCTTCCATTCAAATTAACCGAGTTCTCCGCAAGTTTCCGGAACCTTAAATTCCTGTATAGAAACAGTTAATGTATATACCTATTCCACTCGGGGAACTGCTAACCATTTCTGGTATACATTCACTTAGTACTACCTTTTTGGCGGTAGAAAATCACCTTCGACGATGTATACCAAACGCGTTGCTAACTATTCGAGCTTTTCCAATTTCCAGCACTCATTCACGATTTTCCTCCACTTATTCCTGTTTGGCCTAATGAGCTACAGGACCTGGATAACTCTTCTGCCTGCATCTGCTCCATCTCTGTTACTACGAACAAGAAGTAAAGCAACAACCACTGTAGCTCTATCACATTTTTCCCCAGCCAAGTTGTTTAAGACTGGCTTTCTGAACTACCGCCGTAGGCCTGAATCTCCTAGCTCCAAAGGCTGTCAAGCTTTCCCACATTTTTGTTTTCTCTTATATAATGTAACAGTGAGAATAATGCTTATTTTTATACGTCGTAGCCCTTCAAATTTTCAAAAATTTGACTGGTGTAAGTGGTTTTGCACCTGGAAGTCTGAAAGAGCGATTTTCCGGGATAATGATTTGGTGTGCAGATTCGCGAAACGGTCCTCCGTCGCAATTCAAGCAACCACACCTGCGGGTTTGTGCCACCACGCTCTACGCCCCACCCTAATACTGTCCGGTCGGAACAGCCGATGTCCTTAACCCTTCCGTGGTTCCACCCCTCGAATCGTCTCGAAACCATGCTTTCTTATCACAATTAACTGTTTTAGTACTGGCGTGCACGAGTTCGGCAAAACAACTCCCATCTCGCTGTCAACTTGTTATTGACAGCACTGGCAACCATTGGAGTCAGCAACTACTACAATTCATTCGCAAAGCACAGGTGCTACGTAGGGCGCTAAAGTGGGCAGATGGGGGGTTTGAAATAGTCACTGGTGAATAAGGATCCTAGGAAAGCCGAGATCATCTTCCTGACACTCAGGACTGAGAAAAGCAGAAAGTTGCTTTCTCCTCCCACTGCAATCGACACCGAGGGGTCTCATCGTCGTCACCTCCAGTCCTTCCTCGTCACTGCCCCTCACGAGACCCAAGTGTCGGAGCAATGCCAGCGCGGGACCCGCATCGAATTGGAGGTCAAAGGAGGGTCCGGAGCCACCGGTGAAGGCCTCCTCGGTGGTGATGCTACTTCCACCGCCACGACGAAGGCGGTGGAGGAATGAGACACGTGCCTCCGTCGAAGCAGGCAGGCTGATGTGGCTATGTGGTGAGAGGCGTTTAGCCACCCAGGATTCGGCGCGGATCTCAAGTTGGCTGCGTTTCAGTGGTGTTTTGCCTGATGGTTGAATGAGGTGGAGGAGGGATGAAAAGATGTACAGATCATTCAAGAGGGCCCGGAACTCACATTCAGAGGGTTGTAGAAGTAGTGCATAGACCAGGAGGGCCGACTTGAAGAGTTCGGCCTGGGCGAGACCGAGGAAGTGTGCCAGCGCGAATCTACCAGAGCTGGACTCGCAGACCAGTGACTGCGGAGGAAAAAATCCTCATTTTTATGCATACATTCTGCGAACGACGAAACTGAGTTGTGGATAAGTGGGAGATCGACAAATGCGTGAGGACCACGCCTTAGCCAAAAGAAACAGAGAAAGGTCTCATTCCTGCCATCGGAACTCACGAGTTTGCGCAGACGCTCACTCCACTCAGCACGGGCCTTCCAGTAGCGCAGAGCAACAAGAGCAGTAGTCCCGCCAGCAGTGGTGGCAGCACAGAGGCACCAGGCTAAGATGGCTTCGGAGGTAGCGGAGCCAATGCCGGTGAGGAGGAAGGCTAGAGGAGTGAGGAGACCAAGCCCTACCGCAGCCACTGCACCCGTCGCCACTACAAGACCGCGCGCACCCTGTGAGAGCCCCTCAAAGCGGTGCACTGGCAGTACGTCCACCACACCTTCGGCAAAAGCGTTGCCACTTGCAGCAGGTGAAACTGGGACGTGCTGAAGAAGAAAAAGAGTGGCAAGAGCATATCCAGAAGTGGGTTTAAAAGTGGCTGTCAAGTAGCAAGACTGAGCGTATCAAAGTCTCACTGGAAAGTAGATTATCTCAACTCACATCAGATATGTAAATAAATCAAGCAATTTTGAAGGATACTGACTTCAAAACCATCTTGAGAATGCGTTAAGCACACCCAGCATACCCCAAAACACAGAAATCTGTGGGTCTCTCGACTAAAACTCGCTCCAATGGATGCCACACGGTGATCAAACAATACATTTCTAACCACTTCCATTAGACTACTCCCATTTTACCTAGGATCCATGATGAGGAGAGAACGAGGTATCACAGGACTAGACTAATCTGTGAAGATCCGGTGGGAACGCGGACTCTAAACACATGGTCGAGTAAACTACAGTCTCTTAGCTAAAATACGCAGAGACCGACGTCTAATAAGGGGTGATGATCTAGAGATCATCTCGGATGAAAAGGATGAAGACTTGTGAGCGTACTTTGAGCATACGCAGGCAGAGAGCATTGTCACCTTTGAGATGGTAGGCGAGGAGAACGTGGTTGTAGCATAGATGGTCCGCTGGCACGAGTGACATCGCTTTCGGTCCTACCAAGTTAATCAGGCGCTCCACCCACCGTTTGAGAGAGGCGATGCGGTTGCCCTGGTGTTTGCTGCTGTCAGTGATGCTGCCATCCGTGACTGTAGAGGTAGTCGTCGCCTCCACGGGACGCCGCTTTAAAGAGCGGTCCAGAGGATACATGCAGGCGGGGTGAAGACCTCGAGTCCATACGCGAAGCACTTCGTAGTCGGCAGGGTCCACGTAGGTCTACAGATGTGAAGGTAATATTTAACGAATGCATCAAACCATTTGGCCTGGTTACGTAAAGAATAAACCGAAATTTGTCCGTGGCAGGAGCATGAAATAATCCGCTACCCTATTAGCACAGTGTTTTGTCCGCGAGGATAAAATCCAAGCTTAGTTCCTGATAGATGCCATAAGGAATGCTTATTCATTGTAAAGCTGTCAACAAAGAGTAGGCAGCCCAATTCTCCGACTGCTTACCCCTCGAATCTGAAGACTACTTAAGTACGGGATAAACATTGCTTCAAATATACTGCTTTCGAGTTTTCAAAAGTTCGGGGAGGGAAGTTCCAAAATCACTTTACCAGCGGATTAATAAAAAGACTGCTTCAGTGGTTGTCTGGAAGGATTCTTCAACTTTTAAAATCAGAATTTGGTAAGACTTTGAAAAAAGGTAAAATCAACGGAACTACTAGAAGAGTGTTTTGAGTGCGGTTAAGTCTTCGGGAAAATAAAAAGTTAAACCTTGACTTGCGACGTTCGAGATGGTCGAGGAAGACATGAAGATTGCAAAGCCTCCTGGGAGACCTCGGAAAAGCCGCCAGACGGTGCAATATCTTCCAATTTCCTTAGAAACCAGTACTCGCTGTCAAGCCGTTCCTTGCGGCTAAGCAAGGGGCTCCTCCCCTTCACAACAGCGTCTGTTGCTGACGGTGAAGAAACTTTGGCGTCCATTAGCGGTTGAAACAAAAGCTTTGTCCAATTGATGAAAAATGAAAGTACAGACTTCCACAATATGCTTAAATGCGTAATTTGCAGCGCCCATTAACACAGTCTGACTTTAAGGTAATTTAAAAACCAGATAAAAACAACCAAGGCAACTAAAAGCGCGAACTCGTACCATTGATTCCTCGCATGTAAGCCTGTACTGATCGGCAACTTTTTCATCAATAAACATCGCAACGTCTTCGAAGGACTCCTTAAACGAGGGCGAGACAACACTAACATCGGAACTTATTTCACGAAACAAAAACCGCTTAGAAAGTGGAACATAACGATTCCTAAATTGAACCTGTCGCACAAGAGCAAAGAAATACTTTAGTGGTGCTTGATGTAGAGTTGGTGGTATTCTCAGGGTCTTCCACTCACTAATGCAAACTTTTACGAACTTGGCAAGTGGCTTTACGGCATCAAATGTGACTTTGTTTCGTGTTATAATAATATATGGCACACGGCATGCAAAACGACCAACACTACTGTAAAGTCGCATAAGGAATAACTCAGACGGCTGTCGCACAGACGCTGAGCCAGTGACCTTAAGCATTTCAACTCGCCCGCACAACTAATTGATACCAAGAAACACACTTAAGTTTCGAAATAAAGAAGATCTATTAAATTGTTAATCAACTTTAAAAGACTATTTGAATTAAAAAACGGATCTACAATAAAAAATTAGAGCGAGTCTCTGGACTTAAAAAAGGTCTAAAATATACAGTTTTGCTGGAATGGATGGGCTACATTAATGTATGTAGTTATGTGACTCCTAGAGTTTGCCTTAGAGACGCGCATAGCCGTAGTAGCAGGGCAAGAGACGCATTACAGAAGCGCGGAGTTGTTAAGACTCCCAATATTGTCCGAAGTTTATGCCACCTAGCGAAAATACAAACCGTGGAGACTAAAGTGTCCCCGTAACCAAACGCAGGGGGTAAACGAACCACCAAAGTATTAGAATGCAACACAGTCGGTCCGCTCCGACTCGAGTGATAGCAGCTGTTTTCGTCTGCGCTTCCCGCCGCCCTCCCACTTGCGCACTAACACACCCTTTTGAGTGGAAGCGCTTGATATTTCAAGCATGTCATTAAAAGCAAAATTGCTGATGGAACAGTGCGTGAAAGTCTTGAGCATTACTACACTCGCATTGAATCTAGTGCTCTGTTACATCTACTAAATGACTGCACCAAACTTCCATCATGCAGATTCCCTAACCCTTCAGAAACGCTGGAGCACATGCACCTCAACTCCACCTTGACTACACGAGTGGCTCTAAACTCTCGCTGTCCCACCCACAAGTTAGTAGGATGGAGCTCCGCCCGGTGAAAGCAATGGTACATGCAATCCTCCTCCCCTATCCTCAAGGCCAACCTCCGTCCCACGTTGTGAGGGAAATAAATCCGGAATAATGATTCTCGATCGTTATGAAGATCCACTGCACTTCTAAACAATAGCTTAAGTGCATCCACAACGCAAAATAACAGGAAGAAAGTGACCATAACTACCCAGGCAAAGTAAACCTGGTGGCTGTGGGAGCGCGTGAGTTCAAACCCTATGCTGAAGACTGTTAGATTTACTAAGAAATCCTTACGAAAATGCTAGCATCCGAGAGCTTACATCAATCCCATGCACCCAGCTTCGGAGCAACTTAAGTGATAAAAGGAGAGAAACAAGAAAAGGGACCTAATGTCTCAAAATCAATAGATTTTTCTAGAAATAATCTTATTTAAAAAGTCAGGCGTCCTTGAATCTAGATATCAATTATGACGAAGACTTCGTGATGCCCTTCAGCGTCGTGGATCTGCATGTTGGAGTAGGTGATGGCTTTTACTTCAGTGCCCTGAGGATGCTTCTTCAAATTGAAAGGTTCGCCCCACCTACAATGGCGACCATTAAGCAGTTGGTGAACAAGTGTAGACTCACCCCACCGATTTTATGTGGAAGTTTTCCCTGTCGAATTCAGTTATTTTTATCACCTGAAGGGAACAGGAAGTAGGTAGTGAAACGGGAGAGTGAAGCACGGAAAGGCGATATTTCAAAAGTAGACAGGAATATCACCCTTGGGAAGAAGAACTCGTCAGCGGAGAAGGCGAAAAGCCATTCGTCGAGGAACTGGAACAAAAGGCTCTTCATATCGTTGCCTGAATAATTTGCAACATATGAAAAGTTGAGGATAACGCCTGAAATTGGTGATCGATAAGCGTGAAGGGCAAAGCTGCGACAGCCCCCTTTCAGTATGATACAGACGTATTAAAGCAGGTTCAATTTTTAAAAAAAACCAAGAGCAAATAGTCACTGTGGGCTGAACAAAGAAACTCACCACTTGCTTCGACTTTGAGTGACCGGGTCATATCAATGGAGTCATAATTTGTAGTCATATAACCAAACATAGCCATTGCAACCTAAATAATCACGTCCGAACAAAAAGCAGTGGGACCCACCTGTTCAAAAGCTTCCTTAGTATCCGCACCCCAAGCGTGGAGTCTAATTTTGGGATTAGCTTAAAACAAGTTTTATACTTACTGCACATCGGCTGTGTGATCCAAATCTAAAGAAACCACGTAAATACGATTTAACGCAAACCAACATTCAAACTTTTGCTCAGGTATTGGCGGAACGTCGCCTTCCACACTTTTTGCCATCTCACAAACTATAAAGTAAAGAATCGACCAGTGCAGAGGCCTTCACAAGATCATCGTAGTCATAAACAGCATTCTCCATCCAAAAGGCACAACATGAACTAAAAAGCTCAGCAAAAAAGTTGAATCTATAAAAAAATCAGATTTCATAAACTAAAGAATGGGTTCAGCGACCTCAACCAGCACAGTGAGACACTTCCCCAAAGTCCGCGCCGAAATTATGCATGCGTTTTGTGAAATAAAATTTAAAATTAAGTAGAACTAAGCTGCATGCAGACAAACCGTAAATTTAAAAATAAAGAAAAGAGACCCTTTTTAAAGCTGTTTATATGGTAAAGTAAGTATTAAACACATAAGACTACCAATCATCATACCAAAGATGCGCGTTTTATGAAATAGTGTCCACTTGAAATTAATTAACCGTAATCAAATGCGCTGTTTTTACGAAGTGTTGGGTTCGTGTCTTTTACCTCATGATTGTATATTAGGGGTTGAAAGGACAGCCGATCTCACAGAACTCAGGAAAGGCTATTATAAGGAATCTTTAAAGTGGCACCCAGATAAAAATCCGACTGAAGAAGCCACCTCCAAGTTCCAGGAAATTCAAGAAGCATATCGGTAATTGGGGTTTTGGCAAATAACACCACTTTACAGAGTGTTATCAGATGCCCAAGAGCGTGCCTGGTACGACCGGCATAGGGACCAAATTCTTCGGGGTGGACAAGGTGGTGTTGCCGGTGACTACAAAGAGGAACGATTAGATGTCTTCCAGTTCTTTTCACGTTCATGTTTCGAGGATTTTGATGATGGTCCTAAGGTTAGCTTTTCTCTTTAAAGCATCTTTCTCTTCTCCCGATGGCTCAATTTCTACTGGTATTCTCTTAGGGCTTTTACACAGTCTTCCGGCACGCCTTCGAAGAGATCGCTGCTGAAGAGCGAAGGGCCAGCGGTGAATACTCTACTTCCAGTAGTGAGGAATCAGCCTCGTTTCCCACCTTTGGCAAATCAGATAGCGATTACGATTCAGTGGTGCGATCTTTCTATACCTTCTGGGAGGGGTTTGCCACGCGCAAATCCTACTCCTGGGTTGAACGCTACGACACACGACGACTATCGTCGAGAATTGTAAGTCGCACAGAATTTCACTACCACTATTTCCTTATTTGATGTGGCCCATCGATAGCAAAGAGTGCGTCTTTATTACCTTCCAAAATTTGAGGTATCTCTGACGCCGTCGAATTTTCATTGTGCCTTATCATTAATGGATTCTCGATCGACATTTCCGTAGGAGATGAGCAGCCCCAATGCTGGAGCTTGAATTAGACGATGCAAAATACACCCCCAAGTATCAATTATAAGTGGGATGCGGGTTTAGTTATGAAGGATCTGTAGAACCGGTCGGAATCGGATAGCATTCCTGGAAATAGAAGTTTGGTCGATGGTGCGATTAGTTCCGGTAAAATCATAAATCTCAAAGTATTGGTTATGATTGAGGGACTAGTTTTAAGGGCTGTAGTGTCAAAAGACCTGACGAAAGTGGCCATTTAGGCGATGATATATGAGGCGGTCATTCGATCGCACCAGCAATCAAGTCTTGGGTTGCAACAGTTTCCACGACTAATAAATTAAAGTTTCTAAGCCTGATTTAATAGTCCTTGCCTGAATGAGTGGCGGTCATCCATGTAAATTTTATGGACTTCAGTGACCCCCTTTTTACTGGAGTAAACACTTGTTTACTAGAAACTATCAAGATATGTACCGATACCCTATCCATCTCTCGCTCTGTAAAATTTAGGAACGGCGAGCAGCAGAGACCGAGAATCGCAAAGCTCGTGAAGCAGCCAAGAAGGAGCGCAATGAGGAGGTTCGCCAACTCGTCGCCTATGTGCGTCGTCGGGATAAACGACTAGAGGCGCAACGGGAGCGCCTCGCAGCAGCCGCCAAACATGCTCATGTACGCAATCAGGAGCAGGCGAACAAAACAAGACAAAAGTAAGCCAACGTCCTTATTCTTCTTCCCCTCACTTGTTTGCGCCCTTTGTAGGAATGCCGCAGACTTAGAGAGAGCCTGGGCTCACGAAATGGCCACCGGAGGACTGGCCGCTCAATGGGCAGACGAGTTTGAAGCGGAGCTGGCCCGGATTGAGGCCGAAATAGAGGGAAAAAATGGGAGAAAATCTGGTGTTCTTACAACTGATGGTACAGATTCCTCGAACGGAGACACAAACGAGGAAGAGGAAGACGATGATAATGAAATGTATTGCATTGCCTGTGATAAGAGTTTCGCCAGCCTGGCGGCGAAGCGGAACCACGAAGCCTCAAAGAAGCATAAGAAACAGGTGGAGTTACTTCGAGAGGTGCTGCTCGAGGAGGAACGACTGGCGGCAGTGGAAGCAGGCAGTGAGATAGAGGAACAAATCGGTAAAGTACTTTTCTTCATTGCGAAGAAAATTTCTAAATTTGTATTTAACCCTCTCATTTTTCATCCCTCTAGATAAAGAATTTTCAGAAAGTGAAGCGGGAATCCGTCCCGTGGATGCGGTAAAATTGACGAAACGCGCGAAGCGGAGCCTGATACGACAACAACGCGCGAATGAGAAGGCAGAAAAAGAAGTAGTTCTTCCCGAAGCACCCAAGAATGAAGGTAACGACAAGAATGAAGTCGTCAAAGAAGCCACAGAGACTGACCTTCCAAACAAACCTAACAGGAAGGATAAAACAAAGGCTCCACCGCCACCTCGTAAGTAGCACTAATCTCCCTTTAGCTCTTCACCTTTTTTAAAATTTTAGTTCCAAACAATCCACCAAATGTCTGTTTGATTTGCATGGAGGAGTTTCCCTCGAGAAACAAACTCTTCAATCACATAGAGATGATGGGCCATGCGGCAATAAGAGCCGCGCCACAGACTGTGTCAAGAAGGAGCAAAAGGAAAAGATGACACCACCGTTTCTATTGCCCTCTCCCTCCGCTTGCCTTATCTCACTAAATTTCATTCAATATGCACTGAAACCTACCACTGTACTTCAACATAGTACTTTTTTTTATTCAAACTGTATCATACCTCATCTTGCAAATAACAATGATGACGATAATATACGTTTAATGCGAAATAGGAAACGAAGGAAGTTGCTCTACGAAATGAGATGATGTTCAATGGGAGTAGTCGATGCGCATAGTGCCAGTAGAACAAACCAAGTTAATCCAATCCTGCAACAGGCGGAAGCCATGTTTGGTGAGCAGTCGCATGGCAGCAGCGGCGGTTGTAATGATGACGTTGCCTTCGACGGTGAATTGGGATGGTGGAAGAAGCGATGCCAAGGGGGTAGAGAAAGGAAAGAGAATAACTGCCTTGCCGACATCCACGCTTGACGCCTTCTCCACATCCCCAGCTGCGAATCGGGCGTACTTGCTTCGATCTAGCAGGCGCCGGCACTTCTCCAGCGCAACCCATGCATACGTCTCGGGACAGGCGAGGTAGGAGGGGAAATACTGGGCTTTGTAACGCATTTTGGCGCAGGAGTGAATGTAGTAGCCCATGTAGTACTGAGTGAAGTCGGTGTACGCCGGAACAGCCGACCCATAAGTGCGGTGCAGTTGGCGAACAAAAGCAATTTCTCTACAATAAAGGTCGAATCAAGTAGGTAGGGATTTTTCACCGGAAAGAGTGACAAGGGTCAGTGTAAACAT